CCCCCCCCCCCCCTCTCTCTCGCTTTCTCTCTCTCTCTCCTCGAAGTGTACACCACGACGTAGGAGGAGAGATGTAGGAGAGCACACCGTGTTGTTCAGGGCAGGTGTGTTCTGTAGATCGATACAATACACACACCTCGTGCCCGCCTGTAGTCTGCCGTTGGGGCCGCGGACGGTTCAAACCCAAAATGTAGAGAACACCTATTTGCGTGCACCGTGTGGACCAGCAGAAAGCTTGGCAGCTCAGCTGAGCAAGGTGATCAAGGCGTTGCACTCAAACCTAGGCCACACCGACTTCAAAGTGGAGGAGAGTAGCCACAACTGCAACATCCAAGTGAGCGGAGTTGCTGCGGGTGACGACTGTCTCTTAGCCTATATGTATGCATACAACTTCTGTGCTACGGGTTATCCCACAGCGTGACCTTTGAGAACATGAGTGCCGGAGTCGTGCAGTCTTCATCGCAGATATCGCAGCAAACAGCCAATCTTGGAGCTCGCAGCACCACCGGAATGGCGGAGCGAGGGGACGCTGAAGGGTAGCAGGGGGCGTGCTTATGTGCTTTACAGCAGTGTATTGGACGACGATATTGTCCACCCCATCCCGATTGGATGTGACCAAATCTTGTACCACGATCATGCAGCAGTTTCGGCACACGCCTTCCAAGAGCCGGAGAGATGGCACCGGGTGCCATGTTTTTTTTTTTTATTGTTTTTTCTTAGTGGTTTTTGTCGAATCCTGGTGCGATCTCTCCGGTCGGTGTGATCTCTCCGACCCGGTGCGGAAAATGCTATTTACTAAATGTTTATCCTTCAACGTTTTCAAGGAACCCCGGGGGCTATCTCTCCGACCCGTGCGATGCCCAATCACATACACAGAGCGGTTGAATGCACGCACCCCGGTGCCATCTCATCGACCAGTGCCATCTCTCCACCTCTTGATATATTGGTATTCACAAGCAGACGATGTGCGGTGTAAACCTCATAGAAACGTAGGCTGGAACGTAGCAGCTTTCCATGCAGCGAATGGTCATGGGATGAAAGCGAGTTTGGTCATGCGTGGCAAGGACAACAACCGGTGTGGTTTCCATCTGGGGTCCCGGTGCAGACGGTATAAGCTTGTCTCCCGCTTTCTTTTCGGTCTTCCTCTCTACGAAAACCGGTGCGCGCAAGCAGAAGCACGTAAAATTTCCTTGCCCGCTGCTGTAAGGTGGGGGTAGATTACGGCTTGAATTGTTGTGTGCTTGGGTGGCGTACGGTTGGCAGCTTGCATACCGATTAAATGAGAAATAACGGACGTTCCCGCGTGAAGCGCGCCGACCGTACGCACATACATGTGAAGGAGTGGCGCTCCGCTGACACCGTCACCACATGTCAAAAGGTACGCACACGTTTCCTCTTTTTTTTGCGGCAGCTCCAAAAGAGCTCAATCTTGGATTAGAGGGTCGATGAGATCGCACCTGTTGCGATCTCACTGACACAGTGCGGAAATAAAACTAAAATCACGTCGTTGTTGTTTTTGTGCGCACCCCGGTGCCACCTCGCCGCCTCTTTCAGTATCTTTACGGCAGGCACGCCTGTTTTACAGAGTAATACCGCCTTTCATGATGCTTCCACAGACGCTTCGCCCGAATTTCTGTACGGAACGAGATCCGTTTGAGGTTCTCGAAACAAAAAGGCTTTCTCCTATTGTCCCTCAATAAGTGTTATATTTGGCCTGTTGGGGCAGTCTGCACAGCAGGATAGACTTCCGTGTTTCAGCCGGAGGCACAGAGAGACACAAGCAAAGCGTAATCAATGGCCATGTGAGGTAACTCCTGCTAACACAATAATCCTGCTGAATAGGAAGCGTTTTTCGGGAGGCATTTCATGTTAATTGTTGCGAATGTTCCTCACAAGGAGTCTACACCGAAACAGGAGGCAAGAAAACGAGCCCACCCCTCCCTCCCCAGTGCCCCCACTTCCCTACCATCTGAGCAGACTCCTATCCCCGCCGCCGCCCCCCCCCATATCGCCCGCCCGCCCCGAAACGCAGGTACCCGGGGGGAGCAGACGCGACAGATCAATGGGCTCCGGGGAGAGGGGGGGGGGAGCAATACCCCTACGCCGAAGAGGAAGGTTATGGCGGTTACCCGCAGGCGGGGGCGGGGGGACAGGAGTGGGTCGGGGACAACGGGGTGGCCGCCGCCGCCCCCGGGGGGGGGAGGATCAGCAGCAGCAAGTCCAGAGCGCGACGGCGGGGGGGCAAGAAGCGTGGGAGATCGGGGGGAGGGGGGAGCAGGGCGGGAGATGAGGACGATGGGTTTGATGAGGTGCGGAGATAGAGAGGGCGGGCGGGCAGGCGGGCGGTGGATGTGTGCAGTTCGAACTTACAGCAGGAATCGCTTGTTCCGTTGTGGTGGAAATATGCGGGTGTGTCCGGCCTGTTGTGTACACACATGCTGCCTGAAATGTGTGGGTTTAGCTGGCGCCCTGAGGGGTGGCGATGTTCTAGAAGCGGGTTTTACATTGGAAATTGCGCGTTTTTTATGTTTGTGTGTCGTTGCCTCGCCCCTCAGCTCCCGTCTTTCTACTCCTTCGGCCTCGCGACGAAGTTGCGCTGAAAAAGAGAGAGGCACACACCGTTCTTTCGAGACGTCTCAAGGGACTTTTTTTGCCGGTCCAGCGGTACGTACGCGCAGGCAATATTCGGTACGCTAAAAGTCTTGCTGTCTGTCAGGGCGGCTTTCTTTTTTGTCGTGTTTTGCCGCACGCACATGTGTCGATCTTCGACGCTCCCCCCCCCCCNCCCCCCCCCCCCCCCCCCCCCAACAGAGCGTGCACCGCCACGTCTTGAAAAGACCAGCCGCTCGTTTGTTTTACCCATCCCCCGTGGTGACATGGCCTTCGATCTCGTCTCGCTCTTCTTCCTCTTCCGTGCTTGCTTGCTTGCTTGCTTGCTTGCTTGCTTGCTTGTTGTACAGGAGGATGGGGTTGTTAGGGAAGACCTCGTGCAGGAGTACGCGCAGTCCTTCAAGGGAAGGCTCGTGCTGTCCGGGGGAGCTTCCGTGGCTGGTGCAGCGCTCGGAGTTATTATCAGCAAGGTGGGGTCTGGGGGATGGTTCATTGTTTTGTGGACGAGCCTCACACTTGCATGCACGCACGTTTGTGTAACTCCCGCTGATGTTGAACGGTGTATGCACTCAGGAATAGCCTCTTTTGGTAACCTTGCTTCAATATACTTTTGCTGCTAAACGCAGATGATTTCGGCATCGGTAGATGGCATGGTGGAGAGCACGTCGGATTGCAGTGCTTCAAGCGGCCATTTCGTACGAGCTTTTCCCAGCATCTCAGCGTACTCACACCTACGTGTTTTATAATGGAATCGTGGCTAATTTAACAGACACCATTCTTAGAAAGGCCCGCCCACCCCCCCGATTATCGCCTTTTGTTTACCACATACGACTTCAACGAACGGCCTCTTTCTCGAACCGTTTCTCGAACCCCCCCCCTCCCCCCGGAAATAGTCGACGATTCAGCGTACCCCCGTGATGTCCCTGGTGGGCCTCCTCGTGGGCCTCGTCCTCAGCGTGGCCAGGGGGGCCTTCGGCGACCTATTCCGAGCCCTAGGCCTGGCCTCCGTCCTCGCCGTCTCCCGCAGCCGCCGTCTGTCGGCCGAGTACCCCTTCCTCCCGTACGCCAGGCGGGCCCTGGTGATGCTGCCGCGGCGGCCGTTCCCCCCCGCGGAGAACCCGTGGAAGTACAAGAGGGCGGACGCGATAGCGGAGCTGGAGGACGCCGGGGTGCCGCTGGACGCTGGGAACCTGCCGGCGGAGTTCAGCATGGCTAAGGTGAAAAATACTGTTGTTGTTGTTGTTGTTGTTGTTGTGCAGAGTTCAGTATGAGTAAGGTGAAAATTGGGGGCGTTGTTGTTGTTGTTGTTGTTGTTGTTGTTGTTGTTGTTGCTGTTGTTATGTAGAGTCGGCGTGTCTAAGGTGAGATTCGGTAGTTCTATAGGGGCGTTGTTGTTGTTGTTGTTGCTGTGAAAAGTTCGGCGTGGCGAAGGTGAAATCAGTGTCTTCTGAGGCATTGTTGGTGGTGGCGGGGGCGGTTATGGTGTTACCTCGCGGGGGTGTCAGAAGAGGCCATTTGTCACGTCGCAAGGAGGGGAGCTGGGGTCTCTAGGGAGAGCGCGGTGCGGGAGAAGAGAGGAGAGGAGGACGGTGTTCGTGCGTGGGGCTGCTTGCCTGTTAGGCAAAATATCCCACCTGCTTTCGTCTCTTCGACACGGGGGTGGTCGTGTCTCAGGGCGACCCGATTTTTCTAATTTTCGCAACGATCTATCCGTCGCTTGTTCCTATTGGCGGCCATTATTAGCTTTCTGGTGATAATCCGGAACACGCTAAATAGTTCTCTTCCCCATGAGGTACATGCAGTTACGTGCCTCTTCCGGCCCGGTGGGGTTGAAGTGAACGGAATGCGTGGGTGCGCAACTTTGACTTGTGAGTCAAGCAATCAGACAAGTGTTTCGTCAAGTAGTATTAGATCAGTACGGACAGATGAAGGTACTGGGCAGAGAGATCGGAACGTTGCTTTTATGTCAAGACAACAACAAGCAGACTGTTGTTTTTGGGACACAGACAAGTGTTGTTGTCGACATCGGCCGCGCCGGCGAGGCGGGGGCTTGCTCTGACATCTTGTGGGGAAAGAAAAACACATGATTCCACATGGACAACGCTGCTGCAAACAACTCAGGGACAGACGTGGGGGATATGACACAAAAGCACCGACAGAGGCTGATTTGAGACAGGTTACTAGCCGCAGCCAAGCTCACCATACGATGGATCCATCACATGGCAGTGATGTGTTTTGGGGGAGCTCGTCAATCTCGCCGCGGCCCAGTGTATCGATCGGTCGACGATCTTCCTGCATACGAAGCAGGGTGGACGAGAGATGTCGCCAGATAGCAGCCTCGGAACTTCGCACACCCGACGAAGTCGCTGAAGAGCCGACAGCGTCGCCCAGGTTCTGGTCGGATCCGCCGATTCCACAGGAGACGCTCCATCCAACCCGAGCGTCAGCGGGCGGTACCGACGATGCCGCCGGCACAAGCACCGGCACCGGTGAACTCAGCGACTACGAACCTATCGGCTTGGCCTGCGCGGAGTGCTGCTGTACCGTTGGAAAAGGAGGGGCCACGGCATGGAACGCCGGCGCTGGGCTGCATTCCCCCCGCCATCACACCGTCCTAATTGGGCTGCTTGGTTAGCCCTGCCTGCAGCCGCGCTTCCGTAAATTTCTTACGAAGTGCCTCATAGTTTACCTTGCCGCTTTTCTCTGATGAAGGGGCCAACTTTTGGTGCAAAGCTATGCACCCTACCACAGGGTCCTGTACGATCTTGCTGTGTTCTTATCATCGCTAGCAGTAGCGCCGTGAGCTCGTAAAAAATTTACGGAAGCGCGGCTGCAGGCAGGGCTCACCAAGCAGCCCAATTGGGGCGGTGTGATGGCGGGGGGAATGCAGCCCATGTCGCTGGCACCGGCGTTCCATGCCGTGGCCCCTTCTTTCCCTACAGTACAGCAGTGCTCCGCACAGGCCAAGCCGGTAGGTGCGTAGTCGCTGAGTTCACCGGTGCCGGTGCTTGTGCCGGCGGCATCGTCGGTACCGCCCGCTGACGCTCGGGTTGGATGGAGCGTCTCCTGTGGAATCGGCGGATCCGACCAGAACCGGCGCTTTTTGCGTCCGCTGCTGGCGACACCTCTCGTCCACCCTGCTTCGTATGCAGTCGATCGACACTGGGCCGCGGAGATGTACAAGAAGGGAGAGGGAAGTATACATGACTGAGCTGGGAAAAGTAGAAGGAAAGTACGGGGAGATGTTTGAGGCATGGAATAGACAGGATAAGACGTTGGCTGTACTGGGGCACAGGAAGCGGGTTGAAAAGGCGGAAAGTGATATCGGTAGGAAAGATAAGACCAGGGAAGACATTTTTGAGCCACCTTTGGCAACGTACGAAAGAACGATTGGCCATCGGTTTTCGGTCCTGTGGGAACAATGCTCCGTCCTCTCGAGATGCGTGATCAATGGTCTAACCGCTATGTGGCATGCAAAACATAAGAGTACGCCCCCCCCCCCCNCCCCCCCCCCCCCCCTCCCCCCTGTCTCCATCTTGCCCAAATCAACCGATGATATGAAACCGTCAATGCTGTCGGTGGCGTGTTCCTCGGGGGCGTCGCAAATGACATGAACACGCCCCCCCCCTCCCTCCCCTTGTCCCCTTCTTGCCCAAATCAACCAATGATGTAAAATAGTCACTGCTGTCGGTGGCGTTCCTCGGGGGATTCGCGGGGTACCTGGTGTCCCAGTTCCCGTTCGTGTTCCTGCCGACCTTCATGCTGGCGTTGGGCGGGGGCGGCTTCCTGGCCTATCTCGCGACAATGAAGAAGTGAGATACAGCAGCACGAGCGGTGCCATGATGTTATTTGGTGTCGCCAGGGGGTGGTGCCGTTTGGGTGCAATGTGTTTGTTTTTGCTGTACTGCGCGCACCCGACGCCCCCCCCCCCCCCCCCCCCCCCCCCCCCCCCCCCCCCCCCCCCCCCCCCCCCCCCCCCCCCCCCCCCCNCCCCCCCCCCCCCCCCTCCCCCGCACGTTTCGCCTTTTGACTCGGTAGGGGTGGGGTAGAGAAGGGAAGGGTCTCGACCGCAAGTGTTGCCCTCTCTTGCGAATGTGGAGTTCCTCTGGCTATGTATTGTATGAATGTATGATTAGAGGCGTTAACCTGTTGTGGCCCTTGTCCGCCCGCCCACTGCCTCATTCCCCCGTCTCCTCCGACTTTGTCCCGTCTCCTACTCGCACGTTTCGGACTGCTGGCTCTCTGACACGCCTTTTTTCTGTTGTGTTGTTTTTCAGCGCTCGCGGTGACCTTACCCGTCTTCTCGGAATGCGGACCGTGGCTTTCCTGGGCCTGGTGTCGGAGATCGACTCTGACGTGGCACTGTCGGCCAAGGCCAAGGTGGTGGGCGGCATCTGCTTCTCCAAGGCGATGTTCTGGGACCGCAAGTACCACGTGAGAAGACGCTCCTTATCTGTCGTCGTTGTGGCGTGGCATGGCGTGGCAAGTCGCCATGCCATTATTGTATCGCAGCTTGCCTCGGGCAACCGTGCTGGCCCTCTAAGAGAGTTTTTTTTTTCTTGGAAGTGGTATGCGGTGCTGCACGTGTGAGAAGGAGGTGGATAACAATGGTGCAAGTCCGAAGTGTGCATGCAACGTGGTAGGCCACGATACTATACTTTTTCCAGACATGGCACGTCTTTGGTGGTTAAGGGGTCACAGGGCTGGTTGTTTCTATGGCAACGGTGCGAACGCGGCTTGGGAATACCAGGATAGGTCTTCAATTACATGCCCAAGAGTGCTTACTTTTGTAGGGCTTCACGTCGTACTTGAGTGAAACTGATTAATGAATGTCTGCTCCGCTCCTTTAACGCACTAAAGCACACGTCCCGGACCACTGCCACCACAACCTCCTCCGGTCCAAAATACCTACCCCGCCCTGTCCCTTCTCACACACGCGTTTCCGCGATGCCCCCAGATCAAGGACCGCGTGGTCGTGCTGCTGACGAACCTGTACGCCGCGGCAGTGAAGCTGGTGCGGAGGGTTCAGCGTGACGCTTCGGACGATGACGACGATGACGATGATCAGCGCGAGAGCGAGGCGCAGGACAGGGGAGAGCGGCTGCCTTCGCGCAGCAGCGGCGGTGGTGGCAGCGGCAGCCGACGGCGGCGGCGGCGGGCGCGAGCGCCGGAGGAGGACGTCGATCCCCCGATGCCGACTTCGCCGCCACCGCCGCCGCCGTCGCAACCGCCCTCAGGCTATGGAGGAGGAGGAGGAGGAGGAGGAGGGGGTTACCAGGGAGGGGGCGGTTGGTAGCATGTTGCCTGGAGAGGGAGGGAGGGCGAGGAGAGGATGAAGAAGGGGGGTATGCTCATGGTCGTGCATGCCGTAGTCATTAGACCAAGTACCCTCGCATCCCTACAATGTCGGGACGGAGCGATATGCCGGGTGATCGCCGGCCCGGGCAACCGTTACACGAGGATGTGCTGGTCGTCATGCGTGCGTGTGCCGCGCCAAACCAGATTCAAGCCAGGATGAGAGGAGGAAGGGAATCGTTTAGCCGGGCCGTGCGGTTCAGCAGTAGCAGTAGAGCGGTAGTTTTGTCTCACACGCCGCCTGTTGTTGGTTTTCCATGTTGTTGCGGAGTTGCTGCCGCTGGTTGAGCTGTGCGGTACTCCTGCCTGTTGTGCGACAGTTTCGCTTAGTCTGGGTTTTGATTGATGTTTTTGCAGGCTATGTTTCTCTGCTTGCCCGTTAGAGGGGAGGAGTGTTCCTCCGCAGGATAGTTCCTTCGCAGGATAGTTCCTCCAAACCTCGCCATATGTCGCAGTTGCGTGACCGCGAGACGAAAGAAAGGGGGGANAAGCGCCGTGAGGTATTCGGCGAGTCGCATGAAGGGTCCGCTGTATCCTGCGAAGGGTGTTCGGCATCTTGTGCTTACTTCCTTGCGTACGGAGGACAGCTACGTATGACTTAATTTATTTTTCTGGCGCTTTCACTTCCAGAGACAGTTGTAAGCACTGTGGAAATGCCTCGAGGGTGCTCGACCGTTTTAGCACGACGTGGTACGATCATCCCCCTTGCGCGGAGTGAGGTTTCTCGACCCCGCACGACATGATCTACTCGACCACCATTCATTATGGTCCCCCCCCAAAAATAAACAGAGGTAAACAAAAAACGGTAACTTGACTGCCGAGTTCACGAAGTGAATTGGCTTGTTTTACAACGTTGTTGCCAAGCGACGAAAACCCAATCCCGATGGCAAACACCGAGAGGGGGGCGGGGGTACTCATGGTCGTGCATGCCGTAGTCGTTAGACCATTGACCTCGCATCCCTACAAAGCCGGGACGGAGCACGCCGGGTTCTCACCGGACCAGGCTCTCACATCACCAAGCGCGAAGCGCCGTGAGATATTCGGCGAGTCGCATGAAGGGTGCGCTGCATCCTGCTAAGGGTTTTCGGCATCTTGTGCTTACTTCCTTGCGTACGGATGACAGCTGCGTATGAATTAATTTATTTTCTGGTGCTTTCACTTCCAGAGACAGTTGTAAGCACTGTGTACCTGCCTCGAGGGTGCTCGACCATTTTAGCACGACGTGGTACGATCATCCCTCTTGCGCGGAGTGAGGTTTCTCGACCCCGCACAACATGATCTACTCGACCACCATTCATTATGGTCCCCCCCCAAAAAAAACAGAGGGAAAGTGGGAGTTTTCCTGGACCCGCCCACAGGCCACTTGATAAATTTCTCTCTAGGGCCTGGTTATTTACCCAACAAAATATACACCATTCGAAAGCTATGAACCAGGGCTATCGAATGAACCCACTTTTAGCTTTCACAGACACCTTGGTGACGAGTTATGCCGAATATACCGTTTCACCAAAAACGCGGCGAAACCGGTAAATTACGATTTATTTGTCGTGCCCCCACCACCGCTGTGAAAAAAAATATATATATTTTCGGAATCCTTGAAACAAACTGGTTCTAAATCACCTGGTTCAGAACTCTTTTTTGCCAGGCCCTAGACAGAAGAGATAAATAAACCAAGTTTCAAATTTCAAAAAAATCGCGGCCGAACCACCGCTTGGGCCGCGTCGCACACAGCCGCCGGTAGGTGTACACATGTTGTTGTGAAGACCGGCAACCAAATGGAACTCGACCAAGAGAGGGTCTCCTGCCTGCAGCAGTTGGTTCCAGACGGATGCACGCTGCGCGACAAGCTCAGCATCGAGAGACAGAAGCCACGAAAGTATCGGTTAGTGCTGCACTCAAGGTCGCGAGCCAACAATACTGAGTTGAA